CCCATGACCATAACATGTTGATTATTCATCTCTAAGTATCACTTTCTTAGATGAGGCTCATCATTACTATCCATAGAGACATAGAGAGTAATGCAATTGCAATATCTTAAGTTTTATTTTTCGTTTTGGGAAATATTTTTTATATTTTTTAATTGTGCGCCCTATTTTTAGTACGCATGTCTAAAATTTCATTATGAGAAGATTTTTAATCAAAATAATAAAATTAATATAGTGATATGCATTCTGAACCATATGAAGAAGATCTAATTGTTGAGATTTCACATATATTACTATCCATTATAAGTTTGCTTTATGGAGAAGCACATTGATCTGAATTGGATTATCACCCTCCGATTAGCAAAAGGTAAAATGATAAATAAATTTAAAAAAAAAAAGAATAAAAATAAATAAAGTTGCATAATCAGAGAGAGGAAGATATCAAGAAAAAAAAACCGAAATATGAGAGAGAGAGAAGCACATCGCACTGCACATTTATTTATATAGGGTTGTCACCCCACATTAGCAAAACAATAAAGTGCTGAAAATAGAAGCAGAAATACAGCATTGAGAGAGAGCATTTTAGCAGGGGAAAGTGCATATGCATTGGAAGGGATCGCGGCATGCCCCTGTTGCTGCTTGACCCAAAGTCTGGAAGCATAATTTGTTGCAGTCATTCGGGTCGCAGTTGCTGGGAGGCTGGAAAAGCTTGCAATAGTTTACTTGCTGCGCCATTTCACCTGCACCCAACTCCAAAGATTTTGGACACAAAAAATAGCAAAGAAAACAAGAGAGAGAATTTTAATCATAAAAAAATAGCAAAGACCGAGTATTGAATAGAATTACTCAAGTTTACCGGGAGACGAAAGAAGGACAAGGAAAACTAGGGCAAAAGGTGTGAAGACCTTCATCTTGGAAGAACTTAGAGCAATGGATTACTTTACTAGTGATCACTTTGTGGTTTTGGACTAAATATTTATAGAGAGTTAAGGGCAAAATCTTTGCAAAAGATAGTTACCGTTTCCTTTGAATTTGCTTGAAGAAATAAAAAATCTTCTCAACGAATACTGAATTTATTCATTTTGAAGACACCAAAGCTGTGTTCAATGAATATGTTTGCACAAATTGTTTAGGGAATATCTCTATTACTGATTCCTAAAATGATCATGTTATAAGTACTGGTGATCCTATTATAATAATGGGTTATGAGAAATGTATTTCACCTAATAAAGTATTCTTCTTGTATTAGAAACTAATTTTCCTATTAGGGCAGGTTTGGATAGGAGGAAATTAAGAATTTTAGATATTTGAAATCCAAGAAAATCTATAGATTAATATCAAGGATTTTCCTATTAGAGCCGGTTTAGATAGGAGGAAAATTAAGAATCTTAGATATTTGAAGTCCAAGAAAAACTATAGATTTCTAATATCAAGGATTTTTGTCATGGATTCTTCAAATCTGTTGTTTGGATAAACAATACAAAACTTATGGATTCCTTGCAATAATTTCCATACCCATTGTTTGGTAACAAACCTCGATACACTTTCTTTCTCTAAAATTTTTATATACTTTCTCTCTCTAAAACTCAAAATTTGGGATAGTGTCCTATAAAAAAATTTAGATAGTTTCTCTCTTAACAATTTGATATGGTATCTCTCTCTAAAATTTAATATACTTTCTATCCAAAATTTAAATTTGAAATTGTCTATCTAAAAATTTAAAGATAATGTCTCTCTCTCAAAATTTTAGATGCTTTACTCTCTCTAAAATTTAATGTAGTATCTCTTTCTAAAATTTTAAAATATTCTCTCTCTAAAATTTGAAACTTGTATAGTTCCCTCTTCAATAATTTTGAGATAGTTTCTCTCTCTAAACATTTTTAAATGGTTTCTCTCTCTAATTTATGATATATTTTTTTTCTCAAGTTTTAAGACACTTTCTCTTTCTAAAAGAAAAAATTTGAGATAATTTCTCTCTAATAATTATGCGATAGTTTCTTTTTACGAAAAACTTTTATGTACTTTCTCTCTCTCTAAAATTTGATATAGTTACTCTTTTAAATTTTAAGATGCTCTCTCTCTAAAACTTCAAGTTTGAGATAGTTTCTCTCTCTAAAATTTATAAATAGTTTGTCTCTTTAAAATTTGATACAGTGCATTTCTAAAATTTTATATACTTTACCTCTCTAAAGTTTAAAATTGGGAAAATATCCCCTTATCTTCTATTTTTAACTTCTATATCTCACTAGACTCAAGAAATGAAAATATTACTTGTAAGCAAAAAGGATCCATCTTTTCTATCCTACAACCCCCTAAACCCTCTTTGTCCATAAATTTTTTATCCAAATAAACTCGAAAATAACACCATATCCAAACTTTTCTACTCCGTTAACATCAGTCTTTTGAACCACCCTCTCTCTCACATCACCGTGTCTCTCTCAAAAATCCGTCTCTCTTGACTTTCTCTCTCTCTTTCTATCTCTATTTTTTTGGGTATTCTCTTAGTTTCTCTCCATCTATATCTATTTTGGGATTTTAAGGATTTTCATTAGTTTATTTTTATCCCTATCTCATTTTTTTGTTTTTTTTTTGGATCTTTTTCAATTTCTCTCTATCTCTTCCTATCTCGATTGTTTCAGGCATTTTTTTAGTTTTTCTCCATCTCTATCTTGAGATTTTTAGGGGTTTTCAAGAGATACTCGATTTCTCCCCCTCTCTTTATTTTTGTATTTCTCAATATTCATCTCAATGTCTCTATTTTTTCAATAATCCCTAAAATATAAAGTTATAAGGTGCTCAAAACCCCATATTGCCATCAAGAGTCTCTTCAAAAACCCCCAAATCAAGTATGTAATTTTTTTTTTTTCTTTTTTCTTTTTTTTTGCTTTTTTTCCAGCATCCTTTATTTCCTTGGGTTAGCCCTCTCTCTATCTCTTCCTCACACGGTTTCTCTCTCTCAACTTCTAATCTTTTGAGATCCGCCCCTCTCAAAGGTTTTTTTAGAATAATGTTAAAAATAATTTTTGATGCATAGAATAGGTCTGACTGCTATATTTTGGGAGAGGTTTTTTTAAAGAGGTTTTACTTCTATATTTTGTATAGTTGTAACAATGAATAGAGTGCGCGAAAATGCGTAGATACAATTATTGGAAGCAATTATCTAGACATCTATTTTGGGGCTGATAAGGATCTCCCTATATTCATAAAAATTTTAGGTTTTGTTGGCATCATCTCAGACACTTCTGCCAATTTTAACAATTATTTCTTTATTTAGTAATGATTGTATGTGTTTCTGGTTATTTGGCCTTTGCCAATTTCAACAACTATTTCTTTATTTAGTAATGATTGCATGTGCTTCTGGTTATTTGGCCTTGATTATGTTTACTCCTATTTAGAAGTACTGCAACTTTTGCTTATTAAGTATCTGAAATTGGTAGAATTACCTTCGTTTGCTGATTAAGTGTCTGAAATTGGTAATTACCCTGCTTGTCAACTTTGTCCTCTGGATTCAATGTGGCACACATGGTCTTTGATTTTTTCTAAATACAAAATACAAGTAAAGGGTTCTCAAGTTACATATAGTTGTTTAAAAAAGGATAGTATAGATATAGTTGTAAAGCTATGGCTGATCAAGTTACATACAAGCATATGAGACTGAAATCTGATGATTATATAAAACTAGCTGTTCACTCAATTAAATATTGACTGCCCTTATCATTTGATAGATATGTTACTCTTATTAGAAGATTATTGTTTATATGATTAGTGTTCTATAGATTGAAGTAATAGTGTTGAACCTCATTATCTTTTATGCAGCTGTGAACATGGATGAAAAAATGTTCCTATGTATATATGGAGGTGAACTTTGCAATAACTTTGATGGTAGTATGGAGTATGTTGGGGGCGATTCATGTACTTTTTAGTTCATCGACAAACAAAATTGGATGAGATAAAGGAAGATGTAGCAAATCAATTCTCCATAGAGTCATCCAGAGTGCCACTTAAGTACATCTTCCCAAGTAACAAGAGACACCTTATTACGTTATTTAATGATCGTGATGTAGAAAGGATGTTATTTGCATATGAAGGTTGAAATGAGTTAGAAATCTATGTTTTCGATGGATGTGATTGCAAGAGTGGTGTTTATGTGGTCAATGGTAACACAAGGTACGCTGACCCATAAATTTGATCTAATCAACCTTTGTTTTATATAGAAGTTATGGATAGCATATGAATTTGGTCATATTTTAGAAATCTATAGATATTGTCTAATCACCCTATTGTTCCTTCCGATGTGTTAGGGACAACAATTTTGTGCGGGCCCTGCCCTGTTCTTCGAATGTTGAGGAAGGCAATAATGAACATAATACTATGCCTCGTTTGCTTTGCACATGGAAAACTGATTAACTAATATCGGTCAAGAATTCCGCAATATATCTTAATTTTGTGATGCACTTTGGAAGTATGCAATGGCGCATCACTTTGAGTATGTTTACATAAAAATGAGAACTATGGGGTGATGGCGAAATTTAAGAATCATAATTGCAATTGGGAGATTTATACTTGTAAAGATGTTCAAAATTAGGACATGGAGGAGAAAATGTTGGGGCTAACATCAATGTCCATAAGAGAGCCTCAAAACAATTTATCGCTAACCTTGTCCAAAGCTAGTTGGATGACACCCCAAGGTACAAGCCCAGAGAGATGATAAAGGACATAGCTCGAGATTATGGGATAGAGCTTCCATATCTCAAGGTATGGCGGGGGAAGGAGATAGCAATAACTGAGATGCATGGTACCGAAGAAGATACTTCTAATCGACTCCTAGCATACCTCGATCGCAATTTAGAGATAAATTTTGTCGAGTTTTTATATCACTTTCTGCTTCAATATATGGCTTTAAAAATGGGAACCGTCCAATTATCTTTCTTGATGGAACACATTTGAAAGCTCAATTGCTTGGTACATTGCTTGCCGCTACATCAATAGACTCTAAGGATCAGATGTTTCCACTTACATATTCTATCGTTGATACAGAGGATTATGACAATTGGTTTTGGTTTCTAGATAACTTGAAGAGTGCTATTGGGATGGATCAACCAATCACATTTATTTCCGATAGACATGTTGGGCTAGTCAACAATGTATCAGATGTGTTTCGAAATTCCCATCATGCTATTTGTGAGCACCACATGATAGAAAATCTTAGGAAGGACATGAAACATATTCGAAATGATGTTAAAAAGGCCATAATATCTGCTTTCCAAGGTGCCACACGTTCATTTCGGCGAGAGGAGTTCAACCTAAGAATAGCAGACATTCAAAATTATTCTCAAGAAGAATTTACATGGGTAGCTACATCAACTCCAGGGCGCTGGGTAACTTCAATATTTAGGGGAAAGCGGTATGGACATGTTACAACCAATGTAGCAGAATCTTTCAACAACTGGATTTTAGAAGCTCGAGAACTCCCAATACTGCAATGCCTTGAAAAAATTAGGAAGCAAATGACCCAATTAGTGGTAGAGCGCCTTTTAAAGGCTCAAAATTGGACAACTACATTAACACCCTCTGTGGAAAAGAGTTTGGTAGCAATTGTAAAGACTTCTATCTCATTGTGTATGATATGGGTTTCAAATGACGAGTTCGAAGCAATTGGTGACCATAATAGCTGCACAATAAACATTAGCACACGAGAGTGTGAGTGTCAGGCTTGGTAGGCATTAGGCCTACCATGTAAGCATGCATGTAAGCCATTCTGATGGTTAAGAGAGATTTATATGAGTATTGTGATGACTAATTTACAGTTGTAAAGTACAAAGAAAGTTATACCAAACCGATACGGCTAGTCTCATACTTTGATATGTCTTTGCAAAGAGAGTCATCTTCTTATGAGCTAGAAATACTACCTCCATGTACGAAACGTCCTCCTAGGTGTCCCATAAAGAAACACATTGAATCACAAGAGGTGAAAGTGAGGCCTCTTCAGTGTAGTAGGTGTGGCCAGCATCGACATAATAGAGCTACATGCAAGGCGACTCTTTCATGTGAGGCCAGTATAATTTGTTGCTGAATTTTGTACTCGTTATTCATATTATGCATGTTGCTCATACATAAAGCTCCATCATTATGTGTAATGCACCATCATCTCTTTCATGTGTAATGTTATGTATCAAACAAATGCTTGCTACTGATTTGGAGATTTAGAAATAAATGTATGTGTTGATTTTTAGTTGCAAACAAATGTATGTTGCTGATTTTTCACTTAAGTTCATTATGTGTAATGCACCATCGCTTTCATATGTATAGCTTGTCAAGCACAAAATCGAGGAGTCAAGCACAAAATCAAGGAGTTGGAGCCCGTTGCGAAGGGACGAGACCTAGCCAGGTTTTTATACAAGGCATCCATTTATAGGCCCTTGGTGGTCAATTTGTAAAACTTTTGGGCCCCTGGCGGGTTTTTATACAGGGCATCAATTTATATGGTTGGTTATGTTTTGTAGAATATTTTTTGGGCCTTCTTTTGGTCTTTTGTGATATCACAAGTTTTGATCGAGTTTTAGTCACTGAGTTGCAAATGATTGCTTGTATTGGAACTGAGCTCAAAATCCTTGTCATGACGGTAACATTCAACGGCTTGGAATGCATATTATTGTGGATATATCTCATGCATATGTAGCTATTATTACAGTTGTGATTGAAGTAAGCATATGTAGCTATTAGCCTATTACTATAGTTGTAATTGAAGTAAGAGGACCATGGAAAAAGTTCAACTATGTATTTTTCTTGGTGCACCATTAAAAAAAAGTTACAGTTTTTGTAAATTTTAAGTATTTTGAGAGAGAGAGAGTTTTGGTGCACCATTAAAAAAAAATATAGTTTCTTACAAATTGTAGGTATTGAGAGAGAGATATTACGGGGTTTGGTTACAGGGGAGATGGCAGTTACAGTGGATAGTTAGAAAATGAACATGACACTTGATCTTGTTGAGGGTATCTAATTTGAATTTTAGTAGTATTTATATCTGCACTATTATATTTGACGTCCATATCAATGGGTTGGATAGTTCGCATGTTGTCTTGTTTCATCTGGTTGATGTTCTCTCGATTCACAGTGTGCTATGGGTAAAGATGCAAGACTTTAGAAAAAGATTTTACAGTTACTGATTTTAAGTTGCAAATAGTGATTTTAAGTTTGTTGAGTTGTAAGTCACTCGGTAAACTGAATTATAGAACGAGATAAAAGATGTGAAGAATGGATGGGGTTCCTTCCATAAAGGACCTTCTATGTTTGAGAAGAATGAGGTTATGATCATGGCCAAATTTTAAGTGGCTTGTCTTTTTTTTTGTTAGCAATTTTTGTTGAGGCCTAAGGATGTAAATATATTGTGCGGAGGGACAGTTGGCATATTAACATTGACACAATATTTTCTTGTGTTATCAACATATTTCTCTTGAAATGAACATGGGTACAATTTAATGGGCACAAGCCTCTCAAAATTCACATACACAATCACTTTAAATACGTATAAGAAAGTACACATGCGTTCTTTACATTCATATTGGACTCTAGGTGTATATAAAGAGAATATAGAATGAGACCATTTACTTTCGATACAAAATGATCACATTAATCTTGACCATTGGATGGGAAATTGAGATGACTGCAATTATTCCATTGACCAAGCTCAAACTTTAAAAAAAAAATTCTCAAACTTACATATCCAAGATATCAAATTTTATATCAAATGGTTGTAAAAAATTGTGACTACCTTGTATCAAAAGTAGATGGTCTCATTGTATACAATCCCATAAATAAATTCATATTGGACATGTTATTCCTCTATCTAAACTCAAGAAATTCGTTTGAGCATGGGTTCAAATTTGGCTAATGAAGGAGCTCTCTTTCTTCATAGTTTGTTTTTCTCCATCTATTTTTTTCTTCCTTATTCATTAAACACAAATAGAGGTTCAGAACCTATTAGAAACAATAGGAAACAAAGGGAGATATTACGCCATTCCCTCTTTAACACACCTACATGACACAGAGAGATTGCCTTCAACATCACAGCATTTATGAGATTACAATAGTTACAAAATAAATTAAAAAATCTATGATCATTTATTATTGAAGGGGTATTCACTATCCCTCAGTTACATCCCCACAAAATCACCCATTATCCAGGGGCATGAACACATATTTATAAAAGAAAATACGAAGGAACAAAAACAAGTGTGCTCAACAAATGCTTTGGCAGCAGCAAAGCACGGGCATAAATTAAATACTAAAGACAAACGCTGCCTCTGCAACTTCTTTAAACACCCAACCACACAACCCGTTTGATGCTGCACCCCAACTACAAAAGAAAGGATCAAAGGAAATAGAAGAATCCAAGGAAACAATTCTTACCAGCAAGTTAGTCAAATGATGAAAATAAATATTATAAATCAACACCATTACAAAATATATGGACATGAAGGGAAAGTAAAAGTTACAAGTGACACCAACAAGAGAAGTAAGTGAATATCTCTTGAGCTTGATAGAAAACAAGGTAAATAAGATCTGCAGCAGAGCAATAGATAAAGAACCGTGAAACATAGAAACCATGGAAGAAAAGGAGAATAAAAATAAAGGCAAAATATCTCATTATCCCCCTATTTTTAACTTTCATATCTCATGGACCCAAGAATTGAAAATATTATTTGTAAACGAAAGGTCTCTATCTTACAACCCCCTAGACCTCTTTGCCTATAAATTTTTGACCCAAACAAATGCTAAAATGACACCTTATTCAAACTCCTCGCTTCTCTAAAACTCGATCATTCTCTCTCTCTCTCTAAGACTCCATCTCTCTCTCTTCACTTCTGAGTGAGTATACCAGCCAAGGGGTTTAGGTTGAACTCGAACACGAGCACACTTTTTTATGTGTGAGAGAGAGATGGAGTTTTAAAAAGAGAGGGATGGAGTTTTAGATAGAGAGAGCGAGATGGAGTTTGAGTTTTAAGGAGAGAGAAGGAGTTTTGAGAGAGAGAGGATGAAGGGAGAGAGATGGAGTTTGGGTTTTAGAGAGAGATGAAGTTTTGAGAGAGAGATGATGATGTGAGAGTGAGATGGAGTTTTAGAAAGAGAGAGAGAGATAGAATCATTTTAGAAGTTGTTGAGGTCAATAATATATGGCCAAAAGGGTTTAGGGGGTTGGAAAATAGAAAAGATGGAATCTTTCTGCTTGCAAATAATATTTTCAATTCTTAGGTCTGATGAGATATAAAAATTAAAAATAGAGAATAATAAGATATTTTTTCTAAAATAAAAATATATATTTAACTAGCATGGAAAGAGGCCAAAAATCCAAAAGCATGGATAACATACAAATAGAAGATTTTAGGAGTTTATCAACACTTATGAACTCGTCAAGGTACTAGCAGACAGACGAGTTAACATATAAGCTTAGAGCAGGCACATATTCAATATCACTACTAGAAAAGAAATGATACCTCCACCAAAATGACTAAAGCATAGTTTTTGTTAGAGAAATGTATAGTGCACTTTAAGTGACTATTGAGAACCATGGGCCAAATGGTTCACCATCCAATGAAACAATGTGGAGTCATGGAGAGAGAGAGAGGGGTGCAACCCACCATCCACTCTGTGCCTTGAAAGCTTCAAAGGACCTTGAAACAGTTGAAAATAGCTTTTGATAAGAATGGAAACGAACTTGTTAGAGCTGAAATACATGTTTTGGTTTAGAAAGAGAGCATTACAAAGGCTAATAGATGTGAATAGAACCAGAACCAAAACCTAATTACCAAATAGAGTGAGAAAACCAGAATTCAACAACAGTGACATAACAATGATACAAATTATGATACAATAGAGTGAGAAAACCAGAACCAAAACCTAATTATGTAATACACACCGACAATAACATAATTTCTTAAAGTTCTCCACAACGGTGATCAGCAGAAGGAAACCAGAATTCAACAACCATTTACCAATTCAAAATCAAGTTCAATAGAATTGCTAAAACAATCAGTACACAGATGGCACAATGTAAATAAATTGCTCAATAATCTTCTTCACCCATGCAACATAGTGCGCATCATTATGATATCTTCTTTGGAAGTCACACATTCATCTTCTTAGCATGAAAACTGATAACCCATAACACAAAATATGAATGATAGAGGAAAATGAAGGAACCATAGTAAACAATATATAGCAGGAAAGACAAAGTATCATGCAAAAACTCCCCACTCCCTTTCAATTGATCTATCTCAAAGACCAATACAACAAATTCAAAAATATCTATAACTTAAAAAAAGAAATCTAAACAAGGACAAGATTTTGAAATGAAAATTCTGATATAGTATCTGAAAACAGCGAAAAATCAGGTATCTGTGCAAAAATTAGGTATCTGAGCCTTAGAACTTTATATTTTAGGGATTTAGTGAAAAAATAGAGACATTGAGAGGAATATAGAGAAATACAGAGAGAAAGAGAGAGGGAAAAACCGGACATCTGTTGAAAAACCCTAAAAAACTCGAGATAAAGATGGAGAGAAATTAAGAAAATGCCCCAAAAAAATCGAGATAGGAAGAGATAGAGAGAAACTGAGAAAGATCCAAAAAAACAAAACAAAAAACGAGATAGGGATAAAAATAAACTAATGAAAAGCACTAAAATCTCAAAATAAAGAGAGATAGAGAGAAACTGACAGAAT